TTCATCGTTTTTGTTCAAAAGTATGATCGAAGAAATTACAATTACTGGAATTGCTTTATTGACGTTTTGCACGGCGTCCATATTCTTAATTCACATTAGCGCGCAGAGCGCGCAGGCAACCGTTCCGAATAACTAAAGCGCTTCATGTGCATTGACAAAACGGAACGATTTTGAAGCGCTGCGCAACAGTAATGCAGTCTATGCGTTTCATGCGCAACTCGGAACGCACCCTATGAATTTTTTACTCTGCACCGTGTCGTCGCTACGTTGACTTAATGATTTAATTTCACTTATGTGTCTAAGTTTACTGTTAAGCAGATATTTTAATCTCAAATTGACTTTCCTGAAGATTAATTCGAGGTGTACCCATTGTTCAGTAAAATGTTGATGATTATTTCCAAATTTTTTGTGTGGTACATGGGGTGAGATAGCTATGTCCACTAAGCTGAATATTGTACCTATCTTGTGACAATCCGGGTGACCCGAGTAGTAAGAAAGGTATCTACCAGAGGACATTTTCTTTTGATATCAATCTATGTATAAAGTATTCTCAATAACGTGCAGAGACAGATCCAAGAAGTTCAAGCTGCGATCGCTCTCATATTCCACAGTCGCCGGTGACAGTTGCTGCGGCCCAGTACACACGCTGCAGGACGGCCGCAGCCCATGCTACCAGCCGCGGCATCGGGACTATCGGGAGCGCCACGCCACGTGCAGCAGATGCCGCTAACCTAAAGACGCGTCTGCAACGGTCGGGTGGCTCGACCAATGGCAGTGGCCCGCCAATAGCAAGCGAGGCGCGCGAAGTATTTCCCAGAATTCGGGCAATGTTCCCGAAGACGTCTTCTGGGGTAACAACGAGGAGGAGGCCGACCTCCGGGACCCCGCCACCCACCACCACGACGGCGAGGTCCTCGACGACGGACACCAGGAGTCCGAGGTCGGCAAGCGCGCCTCCTGAGAAGATCAGTGCCTCCAGGCCGGCACGCGTGTCCCCCCGGACATCACCGGCCGCCATTACTACTCCACCATCTAGTTTCGGCGGCGGGGGGGACATCCAGCGTAGGAAAAAGACGCCCATGAAGCCCGGGCCAATCACAGCCGGGCCCATCACAAGAACGAGATCTCGGGCGTCCAACGTGCCGGTCGAGAAGAGCACAAGGCGAGCAGCCCTGATCAGTCCACCAGAGGTCGGGGAGTCGCAGAGAGGAACGGGGGGTGGCGAGGACGTCACCTCTGCAACGAGGGACACCGCCCCTCAGAGGGGCCTCCGGCTCGCCACCTAACACCAGTGGCAGCCCGATGGGGGCCCCCAACATGGCGAGTTCATCCGCCATGACCGCGACGTCACTGCCAGCCACCCTTACAACATGCAAGGTAACGACCACCATGTGTGGGTCCCCCGTCATGACGACGGGGGTCGCCACGGAGAGACGGAGCACGCCGCTCCGTTCTCTCCCTCTCCAGACGATCCAGGAGGTGGCGTCGCCAGGAGGCTGGCGAAAAGAACAAAGGTTCTTTTCAGGCGGAGTGCCTTGAGCGCGCAACGAGTTTAGCACGACGAAAGCGGCAAAAAAGCAGTTAAGCAAGCGAGTGCGAAAAGGCGGTGATAAGCGGTGTGCGGTCGTATAAAATACTAGGCGGGTGATCTGCGAGCGAAATCGATTCCGCGGCGCAGTGGTGGTCTTTTTATTACCTCCGAGGCGAACCTCCCTCCAGGCTGGTTGCCACTAATTTCGGGAGGGTGATTGGCCATCGGAGCCCTACGTCATCGTGCAGACGTCATCGTTTTCACGTGACGACCCGAAGGGAACGTTACTTGTTTATGGTCGCTGTGTTTGTAGCATCTTTCCTTTGTGTAAACGGATGAGTCGTTCGGACCGTCGAAAAAAGCTTGACTTTGTTATTGATGACAATGTTAGAGAATTTTCCAGAATGCGAATAACGAAAGATCCATGCTATACTGAATATTATCACGACTGCGAATTTAAGGCAAAATTTTAGGCGCATATTTTATTGAAGACGTGCTTGCGCTGACACGCAACTGAACGTGGTTTTCGTGATGCGGTTATCACAATCTCAAACAACTAGTTTAAGTTAAAAATTGTAACGGCCTGACTTTATCGAACGCGGACTGGTGTGCGGGATCAGGAGTCCGATGACAGGCCCAGAGACAATAATCAATTTAGTGATACATGCATTAATTTATTCAGTTTATTACATATACGGGTATTCTTAAGTATTCTATATAGCGCAGGGACGGGTGGAACGCGATATACACAACGAAGGGGCCGTGCGGATGCACTCGGTAACGGACGCGGTAGCACGCTATTCGACGGATTCGGTGGTATTTGAGATAGCGCAGGGACGGACAGAACGCGGTATATACAACGGAGAAGTAGTGCGGGTGCACTTGATAACGTACGCGGTATCGTTACTCGATAGACGTATTACCGTGCATAAGCGGACGCGGTATCTTACGGGCAGTGCATGTGCACTTGATAACGGCGCGGTATTTAATAACGAACGCGGTGTCGTTACATAGACGCAGTACTCAGGTTCGATATATTACAGAGACGGATTACATATAGGCGGATGCAGTATATTTACAGGTAGTGCCTTTGCACTCGATAACGGCGGGGTATTTAATAACGAACGCGGTATCGTTACATAGGCGTATTACTCGGGCTCGGTATATTACATAGCCGTATTACATATAGGCGGACGCGGTATAATTACAGGTAGTGCCTTTGCACTTGATAACGGCGCGGTATTTAATAACGACCGCGGTGTCGTTACATA